TCTTCTTACAGTTTAATGTTTACAAAAAGTATGGTAGTCTTCTTACAGTTTAATGTTTATAAACAGTATGGTAGTCTTCTTACTGTAATGTTTATAAACAGTATGGTAGTCTTCTTACAGTTTAATGTTTATAAACAGTATGGTAGTCTTCTTACTGTAATGTTTATAAACAGTATGGTAGTCTTCTTACAGTTTAATGTTTATAAACAGTATGGTAGTATTGTGTTTAATTCTTAGTCATGGAATGATTCTAACAATTTTAAAAAAAATTGTTGTATAACCTGTTTTCATGTTATAATATTTTTTTTATAGTTACATGAATTTAAAGAACTGAGAACATGTTTTATGTGTCTGTTCCTTTGTAAGTACTGTGTTCCTGTTTATTTACAGGTCTTGTGACAACTAGAAACCCCCATGGAGTTAGTTTTTAAAACAACCAGATGTTGCCTTGATGTAAAATCTTAATAAAATTTTAACCACTGTCAAAAATGTTCAAATTTTGTATTCTTGTATAAAAAAAGTGGATTTTGTATAATAGAGTTAAAGGTGTCGGATTTGTTTAGTGAGTAAATAAAATTGTGGTTAAAAGGTATATTTTTTGTCCTTATGTTAGAACTGGTGTATCAAGTGGATAATAACTGTATCTTGAAGTTAGACAAATACACTGAGGTTCAAAAAATATTCATTTGTAGAGATTTTCAATAAAACCTGTAAGGGTGGTAAATTAAAATACAATGTTGAAAATTAAGAGGAAATTATGAGATCCCATCCCTTGTGTTTTTCTTTTCAGAACCTAGAAATGTGCCAAACCACCCTGCTAAGTTATGCCAATTATTGCTTTAGTAGTTGACATACCTGTTCAAAACACAGGGAGAGATAGGGGGGTTGTTATATCCAACACCTAACCACCCTGCTAAGCTATGCCAATTATTGTTTTACTAGTTGACATACCTGTTCAAAACACAGGGAGACATAGGGGGGTTGTAATATCCAACACCTAACCACCCTGCTAAGCTATGCCAATTATTGCTTTACTAGTTGACATACCTGTTCAAAACACAGGGAGACATAGGGGGGTTGTAATATCCAACACCTAACCACTCTTCTGAGTTGTGCCAATTATTGTTTTATAACTGTCATACCTGTTCAGTGCCTGACTGTGATATAGAAGGATCAGATCCAAGTGCTTAACCTCCTGGATCATTTACTGGGAACACCACAATGTTACACACCAGGTTTGGTGGCAAATTGTCAAACACATCTGCATAGACTTTTGTCATATAGAGGATTAGACATTAATTATTCTTAGTAAGTCACTACGTGTTATTTATCTGGGAAAAAACATGTAATTCATTACTTGATAACAGGTTGGATCAAATGTTCTTTAAAGAAAGCAACATTTTATTATTTACCATCAAGTTATTAGGTTCTTATTTGAAGATAACAGGTTGGATCAAATGTTCTTTAAAGAAAGCAA